AAATAAATATATTGTTTAAATTACGAAGTTGAATGAATAGAAAATATTTAATAATACCATATTTAAAAAAATATATTTTATTATTTATAAAAGTATAATCGACAATTTTCGGGCAAAGCTTGAAATGGATGTAGATTCGCTAGCCGTTTAGTGGCAGAACCACTTATTACACAGATTGTCTAACTCTTAATTAAATGGTACGCTCAAGATAAGGAAGATTGTCTTGCGTCTGTATTTAGGAGCTCGCATAACGTTGCCGAGAGTCGTTTCCGATTTCGCGAAGTTGTACCGTGTAACAGCATATTAATTATGGTAGCGCGCAAACTTACGCGCATTGACTTACGACTAGCATTTTCGTAACAAATACCGTGTGTGTACGCGCGCGCGCGCGTGTACCTTATATCTACCTACGCGAGATTAATACACCATGCCTGGTGTGAGATTCGCACCGCGTACGATCGCGAGCATAGCTACGAGAAATTCTGCGCATTTCCAGACGTTTCTGTATAGCTTGCGCGTCCAACCGCTTCTCCGGCTTATCCGTCTGTCATATTCTCGGCGGTTATATTATATATTTTTATACTAAAATGTGTCTAAATCTAATGAAAGATAAATATACAGATGCAATATATTTCCACAAAAATGTATTTTAGCTTTTTTTGATAAATAAAAGTGATATAAACAAAAGACAATGAATAGGTCCATATTTAGCCATATTTACCTGAAATCGTCAGTTTCAAAAAGATATTGACTTTTGGATTAATTTTTCTTAATTTATATTTAAAAAAAAATGTTATTAAATTTAAAATTAAATTCCATGATTGAGATCAACTCTTTTTTAAAGCATATTTTTGATGCTTTTATATAAAGAATTAATTTTTTAATGTCAAAATTATAAAATTTTATTGCGTTATAAAAAATTAAGAATTTAATTTATAGAAATATGTATTTCAAAATAAACTTTTTTAATGAAGTTTAAAAGTATCCGATTTTCTCATTTGAATATACTATAATTGAGAATGTCGAATTAATATTTAAAAAGAAACTCTATATAAAAATTCTCTCTCTCTCTCTCTCTCTCTCTCTCTCTCAGTTTAATTGTTTGCTGTACGCGCACAGCGTGAAACGATTTTGATTCATAGTAATTAATTAAATATTAATTTGTTGCAAATTCAATAATTCACAGACATGACCGCCAAGTGGTTAAATGCGCCGCGATCAACCCGACATTGGCGTTGGCATCGGATTAGCGCGTGTGCGATTATCGGTGGGAAATTGTACGCCAGGGGGGGAATTTTAATCCGGTCTCACCGACAATAGGCGCACCCGGAAAGTTACCCAGATTTGAGCGGCATCGCCATGTGCCACTTTTTCTCGTGTTTCATGCACACCGCCCTATACGGGTCCACCCTGCTTCGTTTTTCTCTGCATTCGCTATACTCTATAACACACCTATACGAGAACAATACTGTCCGCCCGACACGCTTCGTCCCTTTCGTCGTGGCTTCTTTTTCTATCCCACGTGTATGACACGTGTGGCAAGACCGAAACCGATGCAAGCCAACGGCTACAAATAGCGAGAACATTCATTTTTGTCTGCGGTTATAAAAATTTAACTTTTCCTAGCTATCACTTCAATCAATTATATTCAATCGATGTATGTCTCACTGATCGGCTAATCACGGTTATTGAATTCGGAAATATCAAGAATTCCGGCTAATAAAATTTTAGAAACTGCAGATGTGGAAAATTTTTCGAAAATTTTAACTTTTTTGTCGCACAGGTATTAAAAACACACATGTGTTTTTCGTACCTAAACAATGTTGCACATGTGTGTTTCGTACCTGAGCCATGTTACACGTGTCTTTCGTGTCTAAGAGATACCTTCTTTGCTTTTCATGGATCTGCACGAGTCGCATGCGGCTGTGCGAGTATCTTTAGTAAAATCGAGCTATAGGAGTTTCAAGATAGAATCTTCATAGTTCATAAGCCTGTAATAGTATTCTGTACTCTTTCAATCGGTAATGTTATAATATTTAATTATTTACAAAATTTGCAATACGTTCTGCTAATTTTTATTTTTAGAAATTTCTATGAATCACAAATTATAAATAGATATACAGGGTGTCCCGAAATTTGCGAATTAAAATATCATAGCAAGAAAGTCTTCGAGAAATTAAGTAAAAAAGTTATTTGTAAATTTTTATTTTAAGCAAAGTTTTTGAGATTTAAGGGTTTAAATTTAGCCAATTATAGATTAGTACTCGCGCGAAGTTCGCTCACGGACATGTTTCCGTTTAATCGTAATCTATAATTGGCTAAATTTAAACTCTTATATCTCAAAAACTTTGTTTAAATTAAAAATTTACAAATAACTTTTTTACTTAATTTTTCAAAGACTTTATTGCTATGATATTTTGATACGCAAATTTCGGGACACCCTGTATATATATTCATATCTTTATTAAAATGTTTCTATAATATTTCTCGCTAAAAATTGCTCAGAATACCTATATATAGAACGCGGCTTTCAACGATATCGAAAATATCAGCAGCAATGGAATCGTTAAATCGTTCTTCGAATCGTTCTGGACCGACTGACCTATCTTCGATTCCGAGACATTCGTGTTTGCGTCGAAAAATTCCTTAATTTAACTGGCATTTTTTTCTTTTCTCTTTACCACCAGAAATCGACGCGTCATCAACATTCAATGCGTGGTTGGATAGTGAATACGTATATAGGGATGCATTTAGACGCACTTCTCGTATATGTATACCTAATAGCACGGCGCCGCGAAACATTTGGCAGCGCTCATCGCGTATTTCTTTCTCTTGCGTCCTGGCGTTACGCCCTATCTACGCGATTCGATTGTGTCTATCGCGCACGCGTCTCTTTTTCCAGCGGATATATACGCATTCCACACATGCGTGTGCAGAGCACACCGAAACATCAATGCACGTGCGTCACGCCGGAGATTATGCGACTGACGCGGTGACCCGGCCATTGCGTATTGGCAATTGGCGAAGGTAGTCACGATTAACTCCGCGTATCGCACGTGTAAACCGATACCCGCCGCCAGATACGCGTACCTGATTGATCGCCGCCAATCTTGCACGTGCGGTCCAACTCGGAATCCGGAATAGCCGGGCTTCGTTGTCTCGTCTCGAGCACGCGGCACGTCGTGGCTGGGGGCACTAATATCTCGATGACAAAGAAACACGCGAATCTGAATATGATGTGGAATTTTACGAACATCTGTAACTAATAAAATAATTAAATAACTAACTAATTAAATAATTAGCTATAATAATTGAGTTGATACATGTATAACATTTTTATATTAAATTATTAATAATTAATGTTTAATGAAGTCAGTTTTCGTTACAAAAAAACCAAATCTTTCAATGTTAAATATTTAGTTAGTAGTTACCATAAATATAAATTAATATTAGTTAAATAATTAAACTGCTACTATTTAATTTCTTAGTAGACATGTAATTGGCTATCAATATAAATTAACTTATGACTTAAAAACATATAAACTTATAATCGTAATATAATCTTTCCAATTTTTTCTTAGATATTTAATCATGTCATTAAACAATATACATATAATCATATTGTTAGATATATTAACTCGATATGAATATAACGTAAAATAGTGAGACATTTTAAGGACTGATTGCACTACAGCATAAATTGTCCACATATTGCAGAGTTGAATGGCAAAAAAATGTCTAATTCTATTCTACTATTCTTCTCTAACTCTCCATTGGTATTAGGTCATAATATATGCCGAATCTCTTATTCCTTTTCTACTTTACTTTATGTAAATCAGGCTTTAGATATATAACAGTATTGTATTATCAAAAGATATGTTTCAAACAACAGAGAAATAGAGATGAAAATATACATATATACATATAAAACGTTGAAAAAAGATTTTAAGTTTTGAGAACATATTTTTTACTATACTCTATTATGTTAGTTTACTGTACTTTTTTTTGCGAAATCTTGTATGGCCACTTTTTATCTATTCGAAACATGTTGACTTGATTTATCTGTACGTTATACTCCGAAAATGCTCGATAAATTGTCCAGGTATTTTATACAGAAGTGATTGGAGCCAAACGTCGTACAGCTAAGGATAATGCATAATTTTTATTGCGACAAAGATGTGAAACAGATCTTCGCATCGACTGGATTTCACTGTTACGAATAAACATAGAGATTATCTTTGTTTCTGTATGGCGTCAAAATCCGAACTCAGCGTAGTTATACGTTTAATCCTTGATTAAAGCTGAATGGAACGTGCCAGATTTCTATCTCGCAACATACCGTTTATTCGTGATGTCTGTATTGCGAAATGCAAATTGAATCAATCAAACTTTATCCACTAATTAAGACTGGTAAAATTCAAATAAGTCTAATTTATAACACACACACTGAAGATATGCAAAAATATGTCTTCTCCACTTTACATATACTATAACACAGCTTCTGTTGTTCGAGTAAACATAGAGATTATTTTATGTTTGTTCGTATACAATATTCTGGTGTTTATCAATCGATAACTGAATCCACCGAAACTATATACGTTTTTATCAGAATTGTTATTACAAAATTTGCGTTATCAAAACGCACTTCCTTTCGTACGCGTCAAAGCGATATCGACGATTGAAGATTCAGTACAACTTTCTTCAATGAAAAAGCATCAATCTAAATCTGAAAAAAAAAAGATCAAGTTAGGATTAATTTCATTGAATTCCGAATATGAAATTCTTCGAATCGCAGTAGGACGTGCGGGCAATTTCGAAAATGGAGAGATCGATTGTAGAGAATGATTATTTGGAAACAAGTTATATATGTATATCACACACGTGTATGTACACGGATAGTGTCGTCATTTGAATGCGTGGTTCGATCCCCGTGTGCTTCGTGCGATGGCGCGCTGCCGAGGTGAAATATAAAAACCGTGCCACGTGTGCGCGTGTTACAGGCTGTAGCGAGGACGACGCAGGTGTCGTGGATACGGAGGTGGGCGGAGGTTGCGCGGGTGGAGCGCCAACCGCAGGAGGTGGAAGTGTTGCCGGCGATGGAGGTGGTGGCGGCAGCGGCGGTACGTGCAGGGGGGTGGGTGGTGGCGGCGACAGCGAGGGCGGATCATCCGCGAAGCAGCAGCAGGGTGGCGAAAGGTGTCCTCAGTGCGGCATCCCCTGTCGGGACGTCCGTGTCCTGCAGCTTCATCTCGAGGACACGCACAAAACGTCCTGTACCATCGACAAGCACGATCTCAACGCCCAGTTCTCCCAAGTGGTGAGTGATCGCGATGACCCGTCAAGGACACACACTTCGCCGGGGGAAGGGCGCCTTGTTCCCGCGCGCGGACTTTATCGATTATATTCTCCCGCAAAAGCGGCAGTCAGCTTTCCGCTGAGAGGCGCCGTTTTCGTCCCTCTTCGCACGCGATTTTCGTGAAGGAAGGGGGACACGAATGTCGGTGTATATATATAGGTATAGAGTGGTGGTATAGGTTATCGTGTTTTTTCTAAATTTTTTTTTTTAACGGTGTGTTGGAATAAGCATATAAACGGGCAACACGCGTAAAATTATGAGTAACAATGTGAGGTGCAAAATTAATATTCAGCTTGCAATTTATAAAGTAAATAAGTAGGTAAATAAAAATATAGATACATTTCTATATAGATAAAATAACTTTATGCGACTTATTGCATAATTCAAGTGATATATGGTTCATTATAAATTTAATTTTACAATATTTTGTGGAGACCAGTTACAACACGTCTCTTACATTTTTTCTCTGTTTTATATTTCTGCCTCCTTTTTTGATTAATATTTAATATATATGATTTTGTATATGTGGTAACGCGAAATATTTCATATTTTTTACAGTTATGACAAATGTTATCTGGAATTGCCTAAATTATATAAATTGCGAACTTGGATGCGCTCTAGTCAACTCCTTTTATGGCGGTTTCCTAATTAAGTTTGAAATAATCGACAGATTGCAGCATACCTAAAACATATTACAAAAAATACTCAACTTACTAATTGGTGCAATTAAAATAAATATTCATTTCGACCTACATATTTCTCTTAGATTAGCTGAATTAAAAAGATAAAATAATTTCTCCTTTGAGGAAGAAAAAAGGTCGATTTTATTACTGGCAGTTCTCGAAGAAAAATTTGAGTATGAATAATATGCAGCGTGTGTCCATAATGTAATTATATTAAAACATTTGCTATTTGCGAGGTAATCATACATATACATAGAGATTCATGAAACTGATTATAAAAATTATCTACAATTAACTGAATCGAAGAAAGACAATCGATGAAAACGGCAACATAATATACAAAAAATAGATATTTATGATTTCTTACTATAGATATCTTTGTTCGAATTTTCGAACGAATTTTTAAAAGAAATTGATAACAGTTATACGATTTGATCAGTTTTGCGAGTCACTCTCTATCTTGTTTGACTAATCTTTTCAATAATTTGACAGTCCTGTAAGGTGTGTAGCAAGACCTTCGCCAACGTCTACCGACTGCAGAGGCACATGATTAGCCATGATGAAAGTGCTGTTTTACGAAAGTTTAAATGTCCTCATTGCGAGAAGGCCTTCAAGTTCAAGCATCACCTTAAGGTATTTTGTTATTATAAATAAGTTAATGATAAGCTATAACATGTAATATTATTTTATTATTTCCCGCTATATTTTGCTTCTTATATGTTTATACTTTTCGTAATTCCCTTATATCATGTTCCATTTATCTTTATCGGTGTATTAACGGTGATTTAATTATAAATTTAGTATCTATTTCTACGCTACTTCGAGTTTATCTCTTTTTCTTTGCGTATTACATGAATTATGAGAGAGATAAGAAAAGTAGAAAAAAAAGAATATTTTAATTTAAACGCGATCTCCCGTATTTCTCGCAGGAACACCTGCGCATTCACAGCGGTGAGAAGCCATTCCAATGCAACAATTGCGGCAAGCGTTTCTCTCATTCTGGATCGTATTCGAGCCACATGACAGCGAAGAAGTGCTTGATAATAAATCTGAAAAAATCGAGACAGAACACCATAAGCAACGTCGATCGGGGACAGAAAAAGACGCATCAGGCATTATCGGGACGACGTGACGTCGATCTGCTGACAGCTAACAATAATACGTTTCTGCCGATTCTGCCGAAGTTATCGCCTTCGGAGTATCAGGAGATACAAAGAGAGGGAACAGGTAATTTGATCATTAGTGGTCAATATTTTTTCTGAAAATATACATAGTACTATATCTGTGTATGTGATACACCTACTCTCTCTTCATCTATTTGATTTCTGACAGGTTTTCTATAATAAAAGTATCGAGATAGTGATAAAATTTTATATAGAGTGTCTCAAATCTTCTGTAGTAAAACAGATTCTTGAAATCATGTTGAAGTAAAAATCTTAAAATAAATGCCGGCTAAAAGACTATAATAATTTTTAAATAAAAAGTGTTTAAGATTGACTGATTAAATTATCTGAAATTCGCGCGTTCAGGCGTGGCACATATACGTACATACAATTGTATCAATTTCAAGAATATAGGAATACATAAAAACGTCTTTCATTACTATACGATATGCTAGTCCATCCCTAGTAAAAAATAACTACTAGTACAGTAAAAACACTACTGAAATGTAGTAGTGTCACTGCTATACCAGCAGTGCCACTACTACATTTTAGTAGTGTTATCACTGCACTAGTAGTTCTTTTTTACGAGGAATATTAAGAACTTTTATCAATAACAGCGCTTAAAAGCTAACATAAACTATATATTTAAAAGCTCTTTTATCGATAAAAATGCGTTCTGAATATGGACCGCTATGTCTGAGCACAGGAATTTCGGACAGTTTTAATTGATCAATGTAAAAAATACTTTTCATTTAAAAACTATTATTGTTTCAATATTTTGATATTAGGATTTTTAATTCAAAATGATCTGCCATTAATGATTGTCACAATTTTCCACAATTTAAATATTTAATATTCAGGTGTTTATGACGTGCCAACTCTGTTGCCTCATGTGATGGGATTCGGAAATTACTTCCTGCAGTCTTCGATAGGCAAGCTACTGAATCAATTGCACGCTAAGCGATACGATCATATTAACGAGCAATTTGAGACGCATCGGGAAGTGATGAGTCCATCGACAGCAGACTCTGAGGGAACGGAGGGCACTGAGGGCAAGGAGTCTCCCGCGCCGGTAGACCCGTTGCAGGGCCTTGATGCGGTCAGACGAATATTAGAAACTGTAAACACCTCTGTGACGAAGCAGTTGCTTGAAGCAAACATGCGAAAGCTATCCTCGTCTCCGGCCACGATGAAACGGGAGTTCGAAGAGGATTACCAGGTATGTAACGAGCTATTTAACAAGAATCTTTTTTATTTATAATTTAATTTGTAGAGAAAGCAAAGTTTGCGATTAACTAATTCGTTGTTACTGAAACAACAAACGGCGTTTCAAAATTCTATAAGTAAAAATAAAATATAACGTACATCTGGAAAATAAATATAATATACATATAACATACAATAAATATAAATTAGTAACTTAAAAATTGTAAATTCTCTTAAATTAAAGTTCGAATTATAACATGTTCATAAGAAATTTTAATGATCCCTATAAATAAAATAATAAATAAAAATACATCAAAGAACAGAAAAGAACTAAATTTTGTTACGCGTTCCGAAATATATGTACTGTCTTGAAAATCTCTAATTCATGTCATATATACTACAGATTTTCAGTACTATCAGCACATAGAATTTGCCGAGTGCGAACGTAAAAATTGTTGAAAATTTCTAACGAAACTAACTATCGAGACCTAAAAAAAAAGAAGATCGTGTTCCGATATACTGCACACTGCTGGTAGTGAAAATCTATATGTATAATATACGTTAAGGCCCGTACTTTACGCATTAGAAAGAGATTGAGGATTGCAAATTGAATAATTGAATCAGTCAGATAATTTTAATTTTAATTCGTTTTGTTTTAATTGATTGAATTCGAGCTTTACGTAAACCATAGATTTTTAGTACTAGCAATATATAGACTGCCAGCTGATATCGAAATGCGCCCTATATCGCGTGGGATATCCGTTCCTGTTTGTGAAGTGAACTCCTGTTTATAGGATCAAGATAGCGAAATGTCTAGCGAAATGACACATTGTCCGGATTGGGGCGTAATGGACCAATACGACTCACAAAGTGAAGGTTTAGCTGCGAAGCTTGAAAACGTCAATCAACCGACATCGAGATCAGCCAAGAGAAAAAAAACGGACGATAGTTCTGAAGTAGATTCGGAAGATGAAGAAGAGAGCAACCAGACTCAGAACGATCAGAACGGTAGAAGAGTTAGAGCTAGGTCGCTCATAGACGATGAACAGCTTGCTGTTCTAAAAGGTTATTATGCCATCAATCCGCGACCTAAAAAGGAGGAGATAATCATGATCGCCAATTATATCAACTTTCCTACACGTGTTGTACAGGTACGCAAAATAAAGACAAATTGTCAGTCTAAATTGAAAGAATTGCAGATTATTTTAATACCCATTAAAACAACTAATATTTAATAGACTTATGATGGTTAATTATTAATTACATATTATACGATTATTTTATAGGTTTGGTTTCAAAATTCTCGTGCCAGGGATCGAAGAGAATCGAAAATGCCACCAGCCTTGGTACCTTTAGCACTCTCAGAGAATCCGACTATTATCGAACAGCCCTTGGATCTGTCGAAGAAAGAAGCGCTTGTTTCAGCGACCAAAGAAAATGATACATCGAGCAGAAATATCTCGCCTCCGTGTGAACAGAAGAACGACACTGCAGCCCCAACTGTCGACAACGATGACCTCGAGGATTCGCCTTTGGTCATAGACGAAGAGACCGCTATTGATCTCATTGAAACGAAGCGTGCACCTCCTAGTAGAGAGATAATCACAAAGGTAATAATGGAAAGTAAGATTAATTGGTTTGAAATTTTATAAAAACAAATGCATAATTCACGTATTATCTTTTAGAATCAAAATCAAGCGAACGCGAAGGGCGAGAGCGAAGCTGCACCACAATCGGAAATAACCCCCACAGCAACAGAAAACGAGCAGGGTCTTTATTTCTGTGATCGGTGTGAGAAAACATTTTCCAAACATAGTTCCCTCACGAGACACAAGTATGAACATTCCGGTAAGTATCTGCAGTTACCGTAATGTTATTGCGCAAATTTTCGTAATTCATGCAACGAGATCGAGCCATTATTGAAATCAGAAATCTAAGATAAAACACTTTATTATTAAAATGAATGATTCCTTTTTTTCAAAAACAATTCTTCCTTTACAAGCTTTTTTACATTTAATTCAAAATGTAACAAGATACAGTTGTACCTTGATCAAGAAAAACTTTATATATATTATATCTAAAACTGATTTTTTTTTAATTAAGCTTTTTTGTATTATTGAATACGATTTTATTAGCAACTATTTTTATGGAAAGTAATTTATAAACTAGAATTATCAATATTTTCACATTTTTTTTGTTTAAGCTAATCAAGAAATGTGGAATCTTTTGCCTCGGACTATCGTATTTCCTTAAAAAAAAAATTTATTATAAGCAAACGCAAATAAAACGGAGATTGGTAAATGTTTCAGGGCAAAGGCCCTACAAATGTGTGGAGTGTCCAAGAGCGTTCAAGCACAAGCATCATCTGACTGAACACAAGCGGCTGCACAGCGGCGAAAAGCCCTTCCAGTGCTCCAAGTGCCTCAAGCGCTTCTCTCACTCCGGCTCCTATAGCCAACACATGAATCATCGTTATTCTTACTGCAAGCCCTACAGAGAATAGGAGTATTCAGTCTTCTCATCCGAGGCTCGTTCGCTTACCTAGATTAAACTTTTCTCCCATAGACTTATATAGATAGACTGTGCGCTCCCGTTGGAGGCAAGAAGGCAGGATTAGTAAAAGAGGACAATAGAAAGTCAGACGCTTTCCTTGTCCAATTGGTGCAGTTGGTGGAGAGAAGGAAAGATGAGACGCGATCATTTTCCTTGCTCTTAGAAAGAGAGATGCGCACTATCTTCTCTCTCTCTCTCTCCAACTTTCATTCTTATGGATTACCATTTACCTCATATTCCTTCACTCATTTTTAATTTTCCAATTAATCTCTTAAAAAAAAACTGACATCTACGAAAAGGATCGAAGATCAGGATTGACGTGAAATTCGTCGACGAATTGTTCTCACATGGAACCACGCGTTATCTCACTCTTATTTTTAAGTTTTCTTATTTTATCTCTTCTCAAAACATTGTGTGATAGAGAGCATGTTGCTGTGGCTGCGTTCGATTTCAACGTTTACACGCTTTAAGCGCTATTATAAGCATTACGTCGTTCGCTTTGGTAAAGTCACCGCTCACAGTCGCGTATTAATGTCATCGTAACGTTATATTTTCAATGTGAGCGCTCACAAATCAAACGACTGAAAACGGAATTTACAAACGCATATAAGCGTGAGAGTTTAAAGCGCCAAACTGAACGCAGCATATGCATATCTCTGTCCTTCAATGTAGTCGTTAGCTATTGTATAAGAATGCACAATCTTCCGGATAACTAAATTTATCAAAAATAGATTTTACAAAATGTTACAAATTTTCAACATAATGCTAGCAGTAACCGGGCAAAATCTTTAAAAAATGTATGCATGAGATACATTTTTCAAGTTAAATAAGAAAAGCATGTCACAATATACATTTTCAGTAAGCTTTGCTCATGATAAAGCTAAATGAACGTATTTTGTGAGTTGCTTTGATTTATATCTTATTTTACAATCTAAAAGACCCGAAATTTTCTATCAAGAATTTGAATTCGAACGTAATAAATATCGTGTTTTACTGCAAGAACTCTTAGTAATGCACTATTTTTTTGTATGCCACTGAATGTTTTACTTGAGTGTTCAGATGTTATGTGGAATTCTGGACAGCTTTCTATCTGGCATTCATAATATTACTTCTGTAATTTACATTTACAGTTACTTTTAAAAACTGTAAATGTAAATTATTAGATACGTATGTGTGAACTCTCTGTACACACACATCCCTGCTAGCATATATACTACTTGGCTTATTGGAATATGTTCTATTTAAATGGAATATATGAAATTATGAAATGACAGATTTTGCTCGGTATCTAATATTTCGTTATTGTAAGATTATGTCAGCAGGCTTTGTTGGCAGAATATAAGCTTAATGCATATGCAGTTGATGCCAGTATGTCGCAGAATTCTGTTTGAATTTATTGACAAACTGCTAGCATATTATTGACAGTTTACTTACTGGGTAAATCTGTGTAAAATTATGCTTTCTTCTTATTTATGTTTAGGAGTTTTTCTCTTTTATGTGAATTTGTTCGAAGATTTTATTTCGTGAGAAAAACGCTAGAACGCCTTTATACCCTTCTCTCGCGGTATCACGCCGCGTCGTTTCGTGAAGCTATAAGTATAATATATACCTAAGATGCTGCGCGACATCACATTATAAAGCCATGGCGTTTTTGCTCGTCGGTTCGTACTTCAAACAAAAAAAAAAAGAAAAATATAAAGAACGGTTTAGACGATGCAATTCGGGAAAGTGTCAAAATGTATGTTCTCGTAACTGAGATGAGAAACGTATTGTTTTATCTTGAATCGTCTGAACTGACTTTAGAGATTTTACTAATTTTATTTTAGAAAAAACTCGGAAAAAAATTGAAAACCGGTGAATACAAACGAAAATGAAAACTACTCGCGGCAAGCGCGTCGACAAATAAGCCAAACGTATGTAACGGTACCAAAAAGCATAATGCAATAATCTATTATATATATAATATAATATACATAATATTTTAGTATTTTTATTAACAAAATATTATATATACCATGACAATAATAAGGAAACTAATTAATGTACAAATTTGTTAGCTACGTCCGCATGAGGAGCGCGATGTCCATTCGCAAAAAAAAATATACGGGCTATAGATTCGATCGAAATGAATAGAAAGGAATGTTTCCGAATGATTAATCTCCGCGAAGCGATGTTCCATGTATCTCGACAAATAATATAATAATTTCCAAAACTCAGGTTCCAATGATAATTTGATAACATGAGAATGGAGATCGCGCATAGTATATATAACGAGTACTCGTTCTACGCGGGTAAAGATGGATATATTGAGTTTACCAAATTAAATATGTCTGGGGTACAGCTGTTAATTGAGCTTAACATTAAGGAATTTTGTCGATTGTAAAGACGGAGATTAGAATCTCATGTTCCACTTCCTTACAATGAATAACTTTACTCGAAGAAAAAACAGGCTATATTATTATTATATTATTATTCTACATTATTATATGTATAGAACGAAGGAAAAAGAAAGAGAAAGAGCGAAATGGGCGAGTTTGGATTTAAGGGCCATGCGGGTCGGTGATCGATGTCATGCGAGATCTTTTCTTTTTTTTTTTTAATACTATTGTACTTACAAGGTGGCAAGTTGATGACGCGTTATTCCTTTAATGCATAACGTAATTATTGTTCGAGACGATGAGAAATACATAGTACGTCGTGAAATGCGCTACACATTCCGCCGAGGATCCGTTTCTCAGGGCCTCCTCTCATTTTATTTATCACTTCTTTCCTCTTGCAACGAATAAGCACTGCGTGGCACCTTTCATCAGAAACCTGACCTCGCTCTTGCCAGACAGCAGATAGCAGAAGCAGTCTCTCGAAACGCGCGACACGTGGCGTTTCGCGTGTGGCAAAGATTAGTACAGTTTGGAAATTCGATGTGACACGAATAACAGAAAAATCCGAAAGAATGTACTCAAAAGACGTCGAAGAGATGCCCGAAATCAAAATGTTCGGGCTGTCCTTGCACCTTTTGTACGTTTACGTTGTTAACGTTGTATGGAAAGGTGCGGCGCGAAGAAACACGAAACGTGCATCGAAACCTCGCAATAATCTCTTCACCGAAATCCGAGGCCCGAAAATAATCGTAACACCTAAGTATGATATTAAATGCTTCCAATATTGTACTATTAAAATTATTATATTACGACGTTTATATGATTTTATTCGTTCGAACGCGTAGAGAGATAAGGACGTATATTATATATATATATATATATACTCTACAGATTGATAATACTCGAGAATGTATTTTATAACAGTTTATGCGTCTTTTTATTTACACGAGTACTACAAGTGATAAGTGATATTGTTATTGATAAAAAAAAAAGAAAATAACGAGAAGAAAGATGAGATACAGATATTACCGTATTATTGAAATTTTGTGCCAGTGTGTGTGTGTGTGCGGCATACGGCAAACCGGTACGTCACGGTTGTACTTCCTCGACGTTTCGTGCGTGTAGAAGCTTCGGTTATCCGCGACAGGCATCGTGTTTACCACTACCACTGCGAAAAAAAAAAAAGAAAAGGAAAGATAAAAAAATGTGCAGATATAATGCTTATAATACTCATTTATTATAGTGTTAACGATTAAGAAATATATTTTTATATAATTATAATGTAATATTATATACGCGGACATACGCGTGACATATAGTACACTAATCGATCGAGCAGCAGATGATTTCAGCTGCAACGGATCTCTTCCTTACATCCAACACAGGCGCGTAGAATTTCGTCGTAATTTCTCTTTTATGCGGATCGTTCTCGCTCGTTCCGAATTCGTTTTTACAATTCATGATAAGTGATTTTTAATCATTTCATTTAGTTACAAGAGCGACAAATCGTTCCTAATTGTATCCACTTGTTAGTAACTCAGTGCGCATTTTTTTTTCTGTTTCTCAACGTTTTCTTATCTTTCTTTTTTTTTAATTTTTTAAATGTAAATTTTATTTTTTTTCTTCAGAAAAAACGAGTCCCTTGTTTGTAATTTCTACATCTCGCTTATCTTTTAGATTAAGCATTCAATGAATGTTCGAATCATTCTACTTTGTATTTACACAAGAATTGAAGATGATATAATTTCGATAAATTTACCACAAAAAAATTCTTAGCTCAACGAAACTGCGTCGTTTTCCTAATTCGTGTCTTGATTTTTCAAATGACTTTTCACGACCAACAACGGGTTAGGCCATCAGGATGAAAAGGCAGAAAACTTACGAAGACAATATTATATACGTATAGATAATATATATTATATATATAAAGTATATATTATATATTTCCTCTGATTCGGGAGCTTTTGCGACCCGCTTGCCTCAATATATGTACGTACTACTAACGAAAAGAAAAAAAAAAGTTAAATATAAATCGCGCCAGCTTTTATGCATCGACATTATCTCCCGATAACGAACAATAACGAGATAAAAAAAAAGAAAAAAGACAACAGCGAAGATAATAACTATAATCGAAAATAAAATAAACGGGGAAAGGAAAAAATAAGAGCGAGGAAAATTGTTATAATTGTTGAAGCAACGATTTAATAAGCGCCATACGATGCCTTCCGTGAACGACCGAGCTTGCCTAGTTGCCAAGATAAACGAAAAATTACATAAATGTTAGCGCGACATTGTCGTCGAGAGCCGAGTCACCTTCACGATCCTCCTTGATTGAATTACACGTGCCATCTTTGGTTATTTTCGTTCTTCAAATCGGCAATCGCAACGAATAAAATTCGTGACAAGTCTAATAAAAGACAGAGCGAAAAATGCCCGCTCTCCTGCCTCCCCCTTCCTCTGCGAAGCAATTCGTTGAATCGATTATGCAAGGAGTATCGCGAAGCACACGGATTTTCAGACTTATTGTACTCAATGAATACTACGTGGTCATGCCATTGAGCTTTTCATTGACTTATTATATTATATAAATACCAAAAATGTGAATTGTATATATACTATATATATATTATATGAATACTCGAAAACAAAAATACCGCAGACAATAATGTACTGTTTCTTTTTAGAGATTAGACGGCGTAAACGCATACTCTATACACCATAGTATATATATATAAATATATTATATAAATATTGTAGATGTAAAAGATAAATTTACGATATATAAATTGGCGTATATATATTATATACACAATTGTGTATATATTATATATTATATATATACATAAAATTACATTTAATTGACAGGAATAGCGATGTGGATATTATTGTAATAAGACGAAGTGTGAACGTATTCGTACGAGAGAAAGAGGAGAGAAAGGGACAACCTGAAGGCTTCTTTTTGATGATGTAGTGCCCGTTGCGCAAGCTCCGAGCGATGTAATTTTATAATTAATTCATAATGTAAAGACCCGCCGAGCATCAAAATTTCGCTAAACGTAATATTTTCCAGATAAATTTCCACTTATCTGAAAAATCAATTTATTTAAAACATGTTAAAGATCTCTCATAACTTTGAATATTTTTTCACAGATCGAGATAATTGTAAATTAAACTATCAAAGCATGCAACTAGAATTATTTACATACATAGCGAGAATTTAAATTTATGTCACTGTTATAAGATGAAAATCAATTATATGCAACGACATAAAAAATAATTACTAGTAGGGTATATATAAATATTCTCAAAAATTATTTTGGGTAATTATTTTAGCTTTATATTTTGGCTTTATATTTTTTGTAATAAATCAAATTATTATACTTACATTTATGTGCTTTATTTTTAAATTTAAAATAGAACAAACGACGCAAAATTGATTCAAGAATTCAATGAAACAATATTTAAGTGAAAAGCTTCTTTTATTTTTTTTAATTTATCACTATAATTTTTTCTGAAACACTTAACGTGAATTTAAAAAAATCATTCTGCATTTCTGTAAAAAATAATAAATTTTACTTATTTAAGTATTAAAATTTATTAATTTAAGTTATTAAAACTTATTTTCGAATAAAAGTAATAATCTTTGCCGATTCATAGTTACTGATATTCATGCATACGATATAACAATATTCTAATAAGACTAAATTGAAATTTTCAGCTCAATAAATATTAAATTTATTTCTTTATTTCTTATAAATTCAAATAAGAATATTTTCGTCCTCGATATTAATTGTGTATCTAAAAAAATCCGGCGGGAGGAAAGAAAGAGAGATATTTGAAGCGAGAAATCTTTCATCTTTTTCATGATCGAATTAATATCTTTATTGTTCCTTATAAGAAGGGACTAAAGTACTTGTATTAATCTAATGAAAAGACGGTCCTAATTCGATCGTCGGCAATGGGCATTCGAGATATAGTCACAAATTAACTAATATAAATTAATTAATTAATTAAATTAATATAAATAAATTAATAATATATATTTCGACACGCGGGGAGATTCTTGCGCTGCGCTCACTACGTCGTTAACTATTACGCGGCACTAACAATTCAAACGGGCCGAAACCGCCGTAAGGCATGGGACGACGGTGGGGAAAGAGAGGAAATAAAGAAAAATAATTGTATTGTGACACGAAGTTCCATCCATAATAAATAAATGAAAATATTATACAGTTAGGCCGACTTTTCCGCCAGTTCGTGCCTTTATTCTGCAGGGAGAAAGAGAGAGCGAGAGAGAATGCAGTTTCGGAATCCGATAATCTAACATGATAATGTGCTACGATGTAATCGCGCGATAATAAGAGAGAGAAAGAGAGTGAGTGAGTGAGTGAGAGAAAGAGAGAGAGAGAGAGAGAGAGAGAGAAAGCACGAAAGAGTAAACTAGCCAGTTTAAAGAATAAAGATAAGAAAAGTAAAATGATAGGAAAACGGGAAAACGAGGAAACAGTGAGAGAAACTGAAAGCATGGAAACCGGATGCGCAGAAAGAACGATCGAGAAGAAACTGCATACTATATAAACGCAAGAGCAAAAAGACATCGGATTATTGCATAATATATATTTTCGGAGAACGCTGCGACCCCCGTATTCTTTCGATTTAAAAAAAAAAACGTAATAAAAAAGCGGGGAAACTGACAAAACGGGGAAAGAGAAAAGACGTGCGCGCAAATCACACGTGTTTAGCGACGCGTGCGAGCGAGAGAGCAAAAAAAAGAAAGGAGAGAAATAGAGCGAGGGAGAGAGTGTGAGGTGGAGAGAAAACTATAGCAATTGTTGAACATTCGTTAAATTGTCCTCGTTTCACGATGTAATAAAGGCTATTTTACTTTGATCCCCGCTGTTGTGTTTCTTGTGCGATCGATGACCCTGGGAGGGAAATTCGGGATGCGCAATCACATATATATATATATGTATATATATATACTTTCTATAATCGATTACGGTACGAGGCAAAATACGTTTGTAGAACATAACGTAATAAATGGCCTATTATATATTGACATAACGTGAGAATAAAAAGCGAAAAAAGTTCAGAGCTTGTAAATAACAAAACATATTTTTATTCTTATTAATATCACATTTACATCTTCCCTGAGGCTTAACGCTTTGTGACCCGATCCCAAGTACACAGTTTCGAGTAGTTGCATTTAAAAACAGTAGCAAAAAATTTGTAATTTTTTTTTAGTCAAAATGCAGCGGTGGTTCCACTTTCAATATAAGAAAATTAAATCTTGAAAATAATAAAATTAAGTCCAGCTTAAATTTTTTTCTAATTTTGTAATAAAGTGGATTAATTTAACATTAATTCTAATAGAATCTATAATAAAGTTTTTTTTCTTTTTAAACAGTAACTGCGCTGAATCCTTTGATCTTAGTGTCTTTGTACACTTATTCATAAATTAAAGTACAACAATAACAATAACAATTATAATTTGTAAGAATAACGGGCTCGGATCGCAATGTGTTAACGTTAACAATGACAAATTCATGACTAATTCATTACATCGCTAGTTTTAGACATTGAATATCGGCCGCGTCGCCCTTGTATCTATTTAGCTGCCGCAATAGATGCAACTTGGGTTGCTTACAGTGTGTCGTATGCAGTTCGTACGACGTACACATGTTCAATAAGATCGGCTCTTGCAGACTCTTCAACGGATTTCTATTGACGACGCTCTCGAACAACCACACAGCCGCTTTCAGCTGACCGGTGTACAGCAAACACACTGCCATGTTATTAATCAACATTACGTTGGACGGATCCATCGACGACGCGGATTGGAAGCAGTTGTAGGCCTCTTGGAAGGCGTTCTGCGCGACCGCCATTAAACCGCTGTCCACCAGCTCCCTGACGCTCGTTGCCTTTTCCTCCTTGTTAACGCGAACAAGGAACTTCTCCGCCGCTGTAACGTCGCCGAGAAACAAATGTACCCTTCCTATGGCCGATCTTAAGATACCCAACTGCTCCACGGTCCAATCGGGCAACTTGCACAGATCCTCCAGTATCTCTATCGCGAGAATGTAATTTCTCATGCCGATAGCGCAATTGACGACGGATACCAGGACTCTAGATTTCCTGGCAGTCCACAGTTTCACGGCATCTTGCTGATCGGATTCGCTGATCTTTGCATGCGTCCCCTCGCCACTGAGACCAGCTTGGAAATTGGATACAATCTGATTGACGGTCGCCAATAGCTTGTACAAACTCTCCAATGCTTGCTTCGCTTTTCCGTAGTAAGATGGAATTTCCGCCAGCAGTAATCTGAACGCAAACGACGCCATGGAGCCTGGTCTGGTGCCGTACAGTTCCGGATAAAAGGTGAAATACATGTCGGGCTTGTCCAAATTTCCGAACGGCTTCGACTCGTTCTCCAACACGTCCATCTGCCGCAATTTGGCCAGCAGCGACAGTCTTGTATACCAGAGCTGCAGAGAATGGGGCGTGTGCTTGCTGGGCTGATTGATCTTGCCGTAGCCCTGAGCGTAGATAGCCAGCAGTCTGCCGGACAGATTGACCGCTGCTCGATAGCAACCGGCCTGTATCAGATTCCTCAGACCGCGCTCGTCCTGCGTCACGTCGGACGCCGTGAGCACGTTACGGTGGATGTTCTCGTCCTCGCCTAGGAAGTGGATAGATGCATTCTTGATCAAGTCAGGCATGTCGCCCTGCACAGCCAGGCCGGGCATAGTGAGATTCTCGCGGTCCAAGTGACTCGCGCCAGTCGCCGTGGTCGCGATGGAACGTAGTATCTTTCGCGTATGTTCCGACGGTATCCACACGTCTCTGTAAGCGTCGTTCAATGCGCTGTGCTCGACCCGATCGACCGCGGCGTCCAACAACGAGGTCGTGGATGTGCGCAGGGAATCCGCGTCGAAGGCGCTCGTCGACCCGCCATCGGACAGGGGATCGTAGTCGGAGGATCGGCTCACCGAGGGCGACTGCACGTCGAACAAACCAGGCTTTTGAAATGCGATGATTTCGTCGAAAATCGTGGGCGGGGCGCTGTTCAAGAAACGACTGACATCCACGCTGCTCTCCGTGTCCTTTGACTGGATAGCGTTATTTTCGGCCATCTCTCTCTCTCTTACAATTAGATTATCTTATTCTATAAGTGTTGGATGTGCATTTGCTATCTGGAATATAAATTAATAGTCTTTTGAGGATTATTGTTATTTTAATAAAAGATGTATTGGATTATGCTTCAGATAGATGTCAAACCTGAGATTTTCTTGTCTTCTGTTTATTCTACTTACAGACGCCTGTTCACTTTTTTCAATATTTCAGTTCTCGGAAAATTTTAAAAATTTCTATAGCGAATACCTCGCAACATCACGGGTTAAATCGTCGGAACTCTCTCAATGCCAATGACTATTGACAATGAGAGGTTATTCTCTAATTGAGGTTATCTACACCCATGACGTACGAAATACCCCTGTGACCTGTGAATACTTGTAGACTGGAGTTCAAGAAGAAAGAAGAGTACGATCAATCAAAATGGCGCGCTTTTCCCCTCCCAATTGATTCTCTATCTCACTGGTCGAAAAAAGTTACGTTACACTCCCTCTCGGTATTTCCTACCTCCGTGGTTATGGTATCTGAAAAACGGTAAATGGCGGGCAAAGTTGTGCTAGGTTACGACATTTGAAATAATTTGAAATCTTTCTGTTTGCTGGCCCGCAACGAATGACCGCAACGAGGATATAATCCTCGACGAAGCTCGCGGAAGCGGTGACGACCGACGTTACCCCCGCCGCGAGGAAACGCTTGAGGTACGCTCGTCGCGCGGAACTTGAACGAAGCGGATGGTGGAGATTTGAAGGTTAACTAACGCACGAGGGCTACCGGCGAAGGGATTAACCGGCTTCGACCGAGCGCGACGATGGAGGTGGACAAGAAGAGCTGCAGGGAGCTGCTGATACAGCGGATGACCTTGGCCGTCGTCACGAGTGTAACGTTGCAATTGTTCCTCGTCTGCTGCCGCGTCCTACTCGCGAATCTAAGCGTGGACTACGCGCGCTGGCTCGAGGAAACTTGGATCACCGTAATATCACCGTGGATGTGGGCTTACCTCATCGTTCTCGCCATGGTGACCATTCTGCAGAGTTACTTCTACAGTAAGAGCTATCTGCACCCTCCGCCGTACTACAGGAGCAGATTCGCCAAGTTGTGCATGACTCTCAGGATTCCAAACTTATTTCTGCGAGCGTTCTACGTTGTTATCGGCGGCGTTTTGGTCTGGTTGCACTTGTCGTTGAGGAGGGGAAGCTACAGCTCCTCGACCGCCGACTGCAGCATTGTATACGGAACATGCCTGGAAGAATATTACTTCCTGCTGTTCAGCGGTCTGTGGAGCGGACTGTACTTCCCGATCAAGACCGGCCATTCTGCTGAGAAGTACTTCCAGTTTCCCATCATACCGCAATCCAAATTTTTTCAACTGAGACAACGAATTTACACCATGCTTCCGACCTTGATGATCTCCTCCATGTGGTCGACTCTGTATTACATGGCCATTTATTATTTCATGGGGTCGTATTGCCGCGAAGCATTGTTACCTTTGATTCCCATGCAAATGGAAGTCAAGCCTCTGGACACTGTGTCTAGATTACTAAATCTGTCACTGATATTGCAACTGTGGCTTTATCAGTTTGTATTTATATTGATTACCAGCAACACGTACACGTTGTTCGATATATATCTGACCGAATGGACACCATTTAAATTTGGCTTGAGTGGTGCGTACACTCCTGACAGTTCAGAAATTACTCTTATCGACGTACTATCAATGGACAAAGTACCGATAATGCAGCACTTGGGTTACTTGGACCTGGTCACCTTAGCGCAAAAAGAGAAAATGAGAAGAGGTCTCTTGTTTACGCTCAGCCAGCCAGGCGGTCATCCGTACAATTGGAACTGCGTGGTGCAAAAGAGTACAAATCTTCTCAAGAAGTTCTCGTCGGACCTCAACGCGATATCGTCAAAATCTCAAGATCAAGCGCTCTGTTACACTACATTGACAGCGAGAGTCCCAGCGGTTCCGCAAAGCAAATATGTATATCATATGCGGAAATTAGTACCAGACGCAGCGCCAGTGTTAATAGCAGAAGCAGATGTGAAAGAAGCTCCTTACAGCGGTACATTCATTCAAAAGTTTATTAAGCAAAAAAAAGAAGCGTTTGTAGCATTCTTGTTTTCCAAGCCACTTATCAACTACATCTTCGGCGAACAAGATGACAATAAAATCCGTCATGCTTTACACAATGGACAACTGGTGATTTGGGCAGCTGAAGCTATCTCATCTTTGGCTGTCTTCTCGCTAAACGAAGATTCCTATGGTATTGTACAAAAAGATGTGCCAACCATCATCAACACTCTGTTGTCAGTGAAGCAGGCTCTGGACAAATTACAGAAGTCAGCTGTTCTAGCGAGAAAAATGCAAGCAGACGATAAATTGATTCGGGAGATTTTTACGTCTTTACGAAGTGCGGTCAAACGTAGTCTATATAGAATCGTTACAAACTTTGAACCATATATCAATGACTTGTCTCTTGAACTTCCAATAATAGAACAATTGCAGGGTTTTCTTAATTACAAGGAATAGTTTGTGAATATTGGTATTATCACAAAGTGTATACTTATGTGTGATGTAAATTTTGTATCTGCTGGAAAACTGCATTTTAGATTCATTGGATTGAAGAATTTTTTTTCATTGCATATGTTCAATGCATAAATGAGATGAAGATGCGTCAGATGTGAACAGGAGTTGCGGCAATGAAGAAGCGAAAAGACCCTGCGTCTCTGGCCGGTACGAAATATAATTGAAAGAGGAAAAATAACTTACTTGACTTTATGCAGGATTACATTTATGCATTGAACATATAAGTGTTGTACTTTACAAGAAAAAATAAAACAATGTGTTAAAAAAGGATGGTTAAAAATATCTGTATTAAAATATGAGATGTTTCAAACGTTTAAGTTTATTAATATAATTATATGTATAAAAATATATAGATGCAACACAGTAGAAATATATTTTTCATAAAGCACACTTTTGAATATTAATTTATAAGATACTTGTAGTAAACAGATATTTTTTTAAGTTTGAAGACTATATCTTCTATCGTTAATAATTTTTTTAATGATTAATTATATGTAAATCTTGAAAGTATGTAAAACACTTTTTATTTATTCTGTAGTGACTTTTTAATTATTAAATATTTACATGTGATATAAAAATAATTTGTCTATTTTACATTACAGTTTTCTTAAAACTTTGTACAACACTTAAATTATAAAATAATTTCTCTCGAAGTGTAAGCCAATTTCTCGTTTGCGCCTTTTGGACTTTCCGTAGATAATTTCGTAACGTATCGTTCTCCGAGATTGCTGTACCGTGCCACTTTAAGAACACCGCCAAATACGCTTGCGACAATTCGAAATCCGTCTGTTGGTCCATCATACAATGAAGCATCTTCATAAACTGCAGCAATGACAATTCGGCGGAACTCTCGTCCAAAGACAGTGATTGAATTTCGAAATCGATATTGCTAGGACCCATTGCCTTTAATTTCTCTATTACGTCCGAAAAATTGTTGGTAACTGATTGCAGACTCTTGTTGAACGAAGTGAGATTTTGTAAGGTCGGATGAACACGGGCAGTTTCGGTGTTTTCGTCAGTTTTAACGTCTGAAAAATCGAAACGCAGTTGCAACGACGGAATCGTAGGCAAGAAAAATGGCGCAGTCTCTGGAATTTTAGGCGCCTGTTTCGGCTTGTTTCTCCTTTTAATGATATCGATATCGAGTAAATTCTGCCATCTAGATTGAGCCACAGCGGACATAGTTATAAGATCACTGTCCAGCTGATCGGGAGATACGTAATCCGGCTCTGCGACGACGACATCGTCTTCATCTACTTTCTCGGCTTCTACGGAAGATCCAGGAAGTTCCACTTCGGGTATCATATCGTCTTTATTAATGGCCTTCAGCGACACATGCGAATAGAGCATACGATTTGACCATAAGAAGATTCCTACGTTACGTACATGCGCGGTTGCAAGAAATTCTGCCGTCGGCGAGAAATTTAAAGATATACAAGCTTCAGGAACCTGCAAATGTACAAAAGATTTATTAATCTAATATTGTCTAATATTAATTAAAAATATATTCTTTTTTAATAGTAAAAATCTAAAAAATATTTAGAGAAGCGAATGAAGGAATACAAAATAAATGATAGGACAAGATAATTTCAAATATATTATAATTCTGTACAAAATAACATTTTTTTATCTAAGAAGGTATTAAATTGCATGCAATGAAATGATTTATCAAATTTGAATCTCAAAAATTAGATTCAAATCTTATATTGTACAGATTTGTACTAGGTATGTTTGAAATTGTATCACCTCATCCCTAATCCACAATTTTTGCAAATCTATCTACTTCTTACATTTGTTTATTTATACGATTCTGAAATTAATCTTACCTGAAAGATATCTATTAAATGTGACGAAGGTATGTCCCAAGTCCGAATAGTACAGTCCATAGATGCTGTGATTAACCACCTAGAGTCAGGATTAAAACATGCATCAGTTATACGTCCCTCGTGTCCTTGAAAATGTCGAACTATTTTTCTGGTATCCAAATCCATTAACATAATATCGAAATTTTCTAAGGCTATAGCCACAAGCGAACTCTCATTGTGACAACGTATCCATTCGATTGATTCTTCCAATGTTAATATCGTTCTTGCTGTAAGTATACCTAAGAAATAAAAATCAGATTAAAATACAATGTATTTAGAAGAAAATATAATTTCTTATGGCGCAAGTATACATACCTTTTCTAGGTTTAAAATCCCAAAACTTAATTTTTGCATCCTTCCCAGCTGTAATAAGAGTTTGATTTAAGTCGTCAACCATGACGCCCTTAACAGGACCCTCGTGAGCGCCATTCTCGTTTCCATAAGATGCTCTGTGGATTCCCGATTGAATGTTAAATCTATCAACGTGACCCGTGTTGTAACCGATCACGACAAAGTTTCCACATCTTGTTAAACATAAGCTGGTTACGGTAGCATTATAATTGTTTTTAAATCTCTCAGGGAGTAACTTAAGGTCGCCCATCTTCTGAAGGTGAGACGACCACGTAGTCACCACGCCCAAACCGGAGTGAGCGGCTGCTATGTTACACCATTCCTTCTCCCGCGTTACCTCGGACGCAAGTTCAATTATTGGCGGCATTAACAGCGGATCGTCAACCGAATGACCCTTTTTTCTAGAGGCTTTCCTGTTGAACGAGGCTCTACCTAGGCTTTTATTCAGTATCTCCGTGACGGTGGAAAACAACCGGAGGGAAGAATCGCCGCCTGCGGTCAACAGATAATTACCGTCGTTTCCGTAAAATCGAACAATCGTCGGAGACTCGGCGTGACCTTCTCTGATCCTCAAGAGTCTACCCGCTCCGTCGGCCATATCAAATATCCATAGCTTTAGAGAATTGTCAGGCGAGGACGAAACTAATAACGGTTCGTTTGGTATGTATCTCAGACCTGTGACAGCGGCGTCGTGCGCACTACATAGCTGGCTCTCCACCATCCGCTGCTCTAAATTCCAGAATACTATCTGACCGCCTTGACTGCCCGTCGCCATGACAGGGTGACCGTCCGTACGAAAGCTGATGGATATCACTGGACCCCAGTCTTGCACAAGCTCGAAGAGGGTCTCGTCGTACTTAAGATTATGCAGAATAATGTGGCCGTTGTTCAAGCCTATAGCAGCCACGTCTATCGCGGGCGCTTGCTCCAATGCTGTCACGCTACTCTGCCACCCCTTGAACGTATAGACCATCTTCGTCAGTTTGATGTTCCACAGTTGTAGCTGACCCTGTTCGCTGCCCAGTAGAATCTTGTTCATATAGGTGTTCGGATGCAACAGCGTAGTTATCCTGAAGACGTTATTGCTAAAATTTAATTCTAGCAGTAAATTTTCATCTTTGATGTTCCAAACCCTGAGGGTGCTGTTCTCGTCGACGGAGAGCAAGTGCGCGCCGAACGGCAACAGAATGTGGACCGCACAATCGTGACCCTTGTAGGTATGCTTTAACTCGGTTCCCCTACGCCACGCGTAAATGTTGTTCGCACTAGCCGTGTACACGTGAAACGTGTCCGTCGCCAGGCAGGTGATATCGTCGGCGTGCGTACCCGAGACGCTCAGGAGAGTGAAGTGTTTACATCCGTAAGTGTGAAACGCCTTGCCTACGCATGTGACGACGAGATGTTCCTTTCTTCTGAGGATGTACCTCGTAACGAGAGGTACATGATTGCTGACGTAGCCGAGTGCTCGATTCCGCGCGAATATTCTACTCTGCACCATCGTGTATTACGAGAGAAAATCAAAGTGAATTCAACGGAGCTATACGTCGATCATGCTTCTCGTGGTGTAACGTGTAACCAAGGGCGCGACCATATTTGAAATCATAATTTATGCGATAATAAGATATATACGCGTTTTCAAGTAGGAGATACAGCACAGTATAAAGGTCCATCTACAATGAGAGTAGTAAGTCGTAAGCCGTAAGAAATTGACCAATCACAGTCGATTATTCTTCTTATATTCGAGTGAGATTGGGCAATTTCTTACGACTTACGACTTACTAATCTCATTGTAGAACGGACCTTAGGCCTATATACAATAGCCGTAAAAATTAACCAATCAAAGTCGAATACGAAAACAATAAGTCCCGAAATACAATAAATGTAGTAGCCGTAAGAAATTAACCAATTGTAATAGATTATTCTCTTCACATTCGATTGCAATTGGTCCATTTTTTACGGCTTAAGGCTTATTACATTTATTGTGTTTCGGGAGTTATTGGCTGCGTTCCGCAAAGCGTATCATGCGCATGATTTAACCTTTTATCTTTGTTTAACATTTAGTGAACAACAAGAATACATGGACATAGGAATCTAAGGGACAGAACACAAAGTCGTAAGGGCGAATTCACACCTTGACAGAAAAGCGGAAAACAGAAAAGCAGAAGCCAATCAGAACTCGCACTGGTAGCAAGAAAAGCAGAAAGCAAAAACTATTAACTATCAACGCGAGTTCTGATTTGCTTCTGCTTTTCTGTATTCCGCTTTTCTGTCAAGGTGTGAATTTGCCCTAACTTTGGCGAGGGAAGTGAAGCCGAAATGCGGGGGGAGAATCTTCCTAGTTTTTATTGGCTATGGTTATGCGCATGCTCAGTACCGCTTAACCTTCAAATGATTGACAGATTTCGCGAGCCATATATTAATTCATACATACATATTAATTCGAATTGAAAATAACTTGGTATTTGTTTGCAAAGGGTTAATGTATTTATATAAATAATGATTTTCAATATATTAAAAAATATACCTTTTATATATTTATATGCATATATATATTTATATTAATATTTTGCATTTATATTTATAGTAATATTAATATTAATTTTTATATAATGAAAATCATCATTCGATATAAAGGATATAATATTGTTGTATGTACATAATTGTTTTAATTATTAGTACATTAACTAGTATAATTAGTAATATACATATTAATACAAAAGTTACATTATAATATGGAACATTATACATTATATAATATTATACATTATAATACATAATCCATACTATACATTATAATATGGAACATTTTATCATAATTATTAATTAATTTAGCGGCCAACGCGCGCATATACTTATTGTACTTAAACCATGTAATGCGAGAATTTCATTTGCTCCATTACGTCGCATAATTCATCATTCTTTCGAAGTATACATTCGTATTGTATTTGTCGATAGTATCGAATACTTTGAAACTTATTGTAAAAATGCAAAAATAGATAAAAGAAATGTCAAATCCGTCTAGAATTTTTATTGTGCTCAAAACTCTGTCTAAAATTTTATTAATTTCATATTAATTTATTTAGTAAATTTTAAATTAAATTTTTGGCAATAAATTCTTTTTCAATTCGTTGTTTATAAACAGTGAATAACGAAACTTTTTTATATAATTAAATAATAAAGTTTTTTTTTAATTCTTTAGATTTTTAATTGAAGATTTACTTGTGTTCAAATATTTAATATTAAGTATTGACATCTATGTTCTTTTTCTATAGAATTTTTTTAAAAAAAAATGATTGACTTCGAAAATGAAATTTTTTACCAAATAAAGAAATAATATTGTAATTATGTACATTTAAAATGTTTGGGTTTCAGTTAATAATTGTTTTTCTTTTAATAAATTTAAAGCGTTTTTCAATGTAGCTATTTGATCATTGCGTCGACGTAAATTTTGTTGCAAATTTCGTACTTTTTTTGCATGTTCCACTTTCAGATATTCAATTCGTTGTCTGAATCTACAGTTTTCTGGTGAATCATAGATTCGCTTTGGTGATACCATTGTTGCTTTATCTTCTGTAGATGGTAATATCATTGTTGCTTTGTCTGCTTTTATTGAAGGTTGTGCTAAAAATATAATAACAATAATAATATAAGTAATGCAGTTTTCTAAAAGTAAAAGTTTCCAAAGAGTAAACATGCTCTAAATATGTACAATATATATATATATATAAATATCATACAATATCAAATATCAAATGTTTAACTTACAACATGCAACAAAAGGTTTTTGTTCTATAATATGTTTTTCTTCTATAAATGGAAATGCATTTGGCCTCAGTCGAATTAATCGTGGATTTGTTCTATCAAAAGATTCTTCTTTAAAATGAACAGAACAAATGCGTGCACTGGATGGAATAGATGTTTGATCAAGACCCAATATATCGATCCATAAATTGCGAGTAGTGTCATTTTTTGGAAAACTAAAAACAAAAATACAGTATTTAAAGAACTATTATAAAAATAGACTGATATTAAAGTTCTTTAAACTATCAATTAATATCAAATTTTAACTTAACCTATGTAACTTTCAGTTAATATGTAATTTAACCTTACCTATGAAATGAAACGTTTGGAATTTTCGGTTGTTTCTTCCAATTTTGGCTGTCTGATCGATTTTTACATTGCGGCACATAACACTGTACCATTTTTCATAATTTGGATATTATTTTTAACTATTGTTATGATTGTATACAAACTCTTTGATTATGACACTGATACGAGAACTTATATCATTGCGCTTGCGCAAACTAACAGCCAATCAAATTTAGGCGGAATTTATGTCGTCGCACCGTCCCGGAGTGGCTTTTCCCCCGCAACTTTATTCTCTGTCCCTTAAGTCGGTTCTACATTAGTTGCAAGCCGATGCAAGCTTGTTGCAACAGCCAATCCGAAGCATTCCAAAATGCAAGCTTCAGATTGGTTGTTGCAACAAGCTTGCGATCGGCTTGCAACTAATGTAGAACCGACTATACACATGATGCGCTTTGTGGAATGCAGCTAGCCATTCTCTTTACATTTGATTGCAATTTGTATATTTTTTACAGCTTAAGGCTTACACCTATTGCGTTTCGGAACTAACCAAGCTTGACACAGACTTCAAACTTCAACATTGAAGTTGTGCTAAATTGAAGTTCAGTGAATGCCAAGTAAGGATAAAATGATATATCATGCATAATAATGCTTAAATTGGAATACCTTTGGTTTACGAATGTGAATCTGTGAATCGTTGATCAATCAATCTATGGCTGATGAAGGATTTGTAGTTTACAATATGAATCTAACCCGCATCCATGATGTAAAAAGAAAGGTAAATCAATTTGAGAGAGATGTGCAGTAGCTAATATTTAGTTAACCAATTAGAATCCTGTCCAAAATGCAAAAAGCACTTATACACTTAGGGCTCCGCACACTGGAAATGCTTGCCGCGCGGCAAAATGCGACGCAATAGCCAATAAACAGCTCCTAAAGAAAGATGACATATCCATTGGCTATGTTGCATTTTGCCGCGCGGCAAGCATTTCCGCGTCCAGTGTGCAGGAGCCCTTAGGGCGAATTCACACCTTGACAGAAAAGCGGAAACAGAAAAGCAAAAGCCAATCAGAACTCGCGTTGGTAGTTAATAGTTTTTGCTTTCTGCTTTTCTTGCTACCAGTG